CTTGTTGCTATCAGATTCATGGGTACCATTAGTGTTGCTAATCTCAGAATTTCTACTTTCAGCAAAGGCTGTACCAGCAACCTTATCAGGGTTAGATGTTTTGTTGTATAGTTCATAATCTGCTTTGCTCTCCTGTCCTCCAAGAAGTCCAACAGGTTCTACATTTTTTTTGTTTAAAACTTTACTTGACTGTGTATTTCCACTGACTCTAACAGACACTTCTTCATCGTCATAATTTTCAGCCACACCCCTCGCTTCCTCCTCATTCAGTGGTTCTGTTGTACCTATTTCACACATCTGATCTACCATGAAATTTTCTTTATCTAATTCTAAACTGTTAAGATCAGTGACTTTAACAGAGGCAGTGTAATGCCCACTACTAATTGTAATGCCACTATGCATCACAACTGCAAATAATCCATAGCTGTCATTGGTTGGCTTTGTGCTCCATTCTTCTAGTGACAATTTAAGGGGTGTCAACAAAGGAGTGTTGATCTTGGAAAGTCCACCACCGTAACAATCAAACCTTTGGGGAAAAAGAAAAGAGAATGTTTTCTGTGGTTCCAATTTAAAGTGTTATACTCCAATATGAAGCCACCTAAAAGTCTAAATTAACACTTCATTTTTACTGTTCATATAAGGAATCAAAGAATAGAATACAAGCCTCTAACTTCGTGTAATATTTATTTTTCACAAAGAAAAAATGTTGAAATAACTACTAGTATTCAGATATTTGTACAGTAAGAACTTTTAAAATAACGTTTTATAAATACTATGCTTTAGAACAAAATCTAGGAATTTTATAACATTTTATGTTTTTTCTACCATAATCTGGGAACAAAAATTGGCAAAACATTATTGTATCAAACAGAAAATAAAACCCACTGCCACTGTAGATTATGATGCAGAGTTACAAGGAAGAAGTGTCCCACAGGGTTTCCCAAGGTTATAAATCCTTCTGGGAGCAGATTTAGTCTCAAATGGCCAACTGGTAGGTTCATATCACTGACCTTTTTTTTTTTTTGGTAGCTTACAGTACCTACCAGCATGTCCCATAAAGGAAAAAAAAATCCACTGAAAAAAAGAGAAGACTGTCATCTTTTGTCATTACTGGGAGATGGTCTGAAGGTACCCGGCTGCTCCACAGGAGACAAAAAAGGCAATCTAACCTCCCTATGATTAGAATTCTAGAAAACTCAAGGGGACATTTCTACAGGGACTAAGGGTTGCAGGAAGTCAGAATCAAGAAAATAGTACTTAACAACCTAGTAATTTCAAATGTTACTAATATACAAAGGAATAAAACCTAGAATGTTAATGTGTTTGTGTCACAAAAAAAAAATGTATCCAAAAAGCAATATTCAGTTTTATACTTTTTTTACTACCAATGAAAATTACTAATATTGCTGAAAAGCCTTTTTTTAAAAAAAACCAAACATAGTTCGTCAGTCTGCCTATCCCTCTTATAGGGAGCTCTGGTGACATAGTGGTAAGGAACTGCAACGATCTCAAAGGCACACAATTCCAATCCACCAGCTGCTCCACGGGAGATGGATAATCTTCTGTGCAATTAACTGCATCTGAAAACCCACTGGAGGGTTAGCTACGGGGTAGTCTCAACTCGATGGTACACAACAACATCCCCCTTATGGAAAAATGCCAATGCATATAAAATCTGTTCGCTATTTTAATTAGTTCTAAAATGGAATTGTTACTACTCTCAAACAAATTAAAAAAACCCCTAACAAAACGGAATTTTCATTGCCTTTGAGTCAGAACCAACAAACATAGCTGACCCACAAACAGCTTTTGAGAGCCTATAAATCACAGGGTAGATGACTGCCTTTCTCCTCAAAAGCAGTTGGTCAGTTGTCTGCTCATAGCTGATCCTCTGGTGGGCTTTCAGAGGCAGTTAATCGCATGGGAGAAGACTGACATCCTTCTCCCAAGGAAGCTAGTGGACTCAAACCACATGCCTTTGGTATTGCAATGCATTTTCTCACTGTTAAGCCACCAGCACTCTCTAAGAGTGAGTAATGATGGGGGTGGGGGGCTGAGGAGAAGAGGGATCATACTAAGTATTACACAAAAAGCATTCTCATAGCTCCTAAATAGCAAAAATATGTAATCTTATAAAAGAGATTTAATTTTTAAAAAATAGATTTTCAGTAAGAGACTTAAAGCAATCTTTACAATTTTAGTAATTTATATTCCTACTTTCATTTTGAAAGTCTTATATAGAATTTACTTCATATAGCTTTTATTTATAAATCAAACTCCAAGCCACTAGCCGCAAAGCACTTCAAGTGAATGGTTATAACTTCAGGCATTTTGTCAAACAAAAGACTTCGTTCAGCTTCAGTATAATGATGACAGTTTTCACAGAAATATTTATCTTCTCCTACAATTCTTTCCACAGAAGCAAACTGTGAAATTGCCCATCTCAGGGTTTTCATTTCTGTTTTAGGTTCTGGAGAAACTACAGAAGAAAAACCTTTCAGTCAAAGATGGAATATATTTCTCAGACACTCAAAATTTAAACCACAAAGTTTAATGTTCAAAATTATCATTATCTATCAATTGGCTAACAAAGAAGAAACTAAATAAATTTCATTTTTCAGAACTCCTAAGTTCATCCTCAATAACAGTGCACATCATCTTAAACATTTACATTTGACCAGTCAACAAATAAGTGCTGAGTCAGTCAACAAAGATGATGTTAATATAAGACAAATTTGAATTTTTATTTAATAGGTAGTTTCTAGTATTTCAGTTGTTCTCAATTATTTCCTGTGACATTTCCATAGCTCAATATTTTTTGTGTGAGAAGTATGAAGGATCCTGGAAATTTTTTGCTCATGATTTGTTGTTGTTGTTATATGCCATCTACATCAACAATTATTTTTTCTCTTACTATAAAATAAACCTGAATGTATAGTTTTTGTTTTATTTATAGCCCTTCATCAAAGCCCACTGATTCATAGCAACCTTCCATTGAGTTTGAGGCTGTAAATCTTTGAGGGCTTCCATGGAGCAGCTGACGAATTTTGGTTGGCAGCCTGACACATTACACATACCACCAACTGAACTCCTTAAAAGCCTATCATACTCAACTCATTTCAATCAAACCAAAACCCTCCAGCAGTTTTTCCAGCAATCTGTAAATCACACTGGAAGAGACTGCCCACGGAGTGGCTGTTAGATCAAAGTCACTAGAGATGCTGACTTTAGGTTCATAGCACCACTCCTTATTGTTGTGTTATGTGCCGTCGAGTCGCTTGCGACTCATAGCGACCCTATGTACAACATCCTTAAACCCTGCTCTATCCTGTGCCAATCTCATTGGCTCTGACACACCCATCCCGATTACCCCAGTCACTGAATCAATCCACCTCATAGAGGGTCTTCCCCTCCTGCGCTGTCCCTCCACTCTGCCCAGCA